CATAACTCGCTAAGCAACCTTGAGCTTCCTCATACGGCCAGCAGTGAAGGACCACGTCTCAGATCCGTAAGTCATCACTGTCAACACGCACTGGTTGTACAGTCTCGTTTTCAAGTTTTGAGGTATACCTGATGAGAAGATGTGCCGTAATTTCCCGAACGCTACCCAACCGAGTTGAATCCGCCGATTGACCTCTCGGTCGAAGTTGGACTTACCTAGTCGGACTATTTGTCCCAGGTAAACATACTCGTCAGCAACTTCGAGCTTAGTGCTCCCAACAACTACCGGCATAGGTGTGACATGGACATTAAACATAATCTTTGTTTTAACCATGTTCATCTTAACACCTATCCGTTGGGAGACACTATTGAGGTCATTGAACATAGTAGTCCTCCAGCGATTCTGCCATAAGGACTATATCGTCGGCAAATCGAAGGTGAGTGATGTACTCGCCATTGATGTTAATACCGTATCCTTTCCAGTCCAGAAGCTACACCTCTCTGCAATTGGATATGTTTCGTAATCTGGTTCTGTACTCGGATAGCCATCGTAGCCCTACTGTACAAGCACTTCAACACTTCGATATACCGACAGTCAACCGCTGAAGGGACTACAGCACCGCCCAAATTTCGACGGAATCAAAGGCTTTCTCATAGTCCACATACGCCAGGCATAGTGGCAAATTGTACTCCTCGGACTTCAGTACAACTTGCCGAAGGGTATGTATGTGGTCTATGGTGCTAAAGCCCTTTCGGAAACCGGCTTGTTCGGGAGGCTGGAAGTCGTCAAGTCTGCGTGCGAGACGATTCGTAATGACTCTCGAAAACAGCACGTAGACGCGGCTCAGAAGGGAAATCGGTCTGTAGTTCTTCAAGAGAGCATTGTCACCTGTCTTGAAGAACAAGACCACCGCACTTCTGCTCCACGCCTCCTGTGTAATGCCACCATGGAAGACGGAATTAAAGAGCCTCTGAACGACTTCCAGTACCGGTTTTCCACCCGCTTTCAGAAGTTCCGCTGTAATTCCATCCTCGCCTGGGGCCTTGCCGTTTTTAAGGTGCAGGAGAGCCATTCTAATCTCGCTCAGACTGACGTCCGGGATATCATCGGAATAATGTCGGATAAGACTCGCTCTTGGATCGTTACTCACACTTGCGTGTGGCTCCAACGATGACGTGTATAGCTGTCCATAGAACCTCTCAATCTCACTCAAAATCTCAGGTGCCCCGGAAACGATACTGCCACACTCGGTCTTCAGCCTTGACAGTTGGCTCTTTCTGGCAGACAAATCTCTGGCAAAGAATTTGGAGCCTTGGTTCCGCTCGATCGCTTCTTCAATACAAGCTGTATTGAAGTTGCGTAAGTCCCGCCGCATGCATTTGGAGATCTGTCTGTTTAGTTGCCTGTATGCTGTCAAATCTGTTGAAAAATGTAGCTTCATCTCCCGTCTAACAGTCATGAGATTAAGAGTGTGATCGGAGAGTTTTTGTGTTCTTCTGCGGCGGGTCTTGCAGAACTTAGCTCCGACCGCATGGATAATTTCCACAAGCTTGTCATTCATATCGTCCACTTCATTGCAGTCTTCTAGGCACTAAAAACGGTTTTGTAACTCGAGCTGAAAGGTTTCAGGACTTTGGAACAGAGCACGAGAAGGACGGAGCGTTGACTTCATTAGACGAGACCTCTCCAACTTAACGATTAGGATCAGTGTGCCTCTAACCATTCGGTGATTGCTACCAGTTTTCACCCTCGCGATCACGAAGACATCACTGAACAGTTGTCGTCTGGTCGTCATAATGAATTCAATCTCATTTTTTGTCGAACCGTCGGAACTCGATCAGGTCCACTTGCTGTGGGGCCGATTCTGTAAGAAGGAGTTCATCATAAAGAGTCCCTCTATTTCCATGAAGTCGACCGGCTGCTGGCCCCTTGGGTTCCGTTGCCCTATTCCAAATTTCCCTACCTTCAGCTCACTGTTCTCTTTTGTGCCTAGTTTTGCATTGAAGTCTCCCATTAACACCGTATATTGGGTTTTGGAGGAATGCATGGCTCTAGAGATATCCTCATACATTTCCTCCACCTTCTCATTGGGGTGTGTCGAGGTTGGTGCGTAAACCTGTATGACCTTCAGCGAATAACGTTTGGTGATTCTGAGTATAAGGTACGCAACCCTCGTCGACACACTCCCGATCTTTTACAACGTTGTTAACGAGAGACTTGTGGACGATTAATCCGACACCTCCTTGGAACAGTTGGTCGCCCTCCCGGTGATAGAGCAAGTTGCCGGATTCGAGGATTACCGTGTCCTCCCCCTCTCTTCGGACTTCGGATAATCCTATAATATGCCAGCGTAATTTGTCTATCTCTTCTTCCAGCTCCTCGATCTTCGCTCCTCAGGATGCCTGCGTTGTACGTTCCTAGGTCGAGTCGTCTAAGGTGGCAACCGAACCTCCACCGGAGATTCTTAGCACCCCCTGCCCCGTCGTTACCATGGGTGCCACCGTAGCTAGGAATAGACGAGCAAACGGTAAAGAAATTTTTGATTAATTTTAGTCACGATTATATTGCGCAGATATTAAATTAGATAGCTGAGTGCAGTAATAGATGCATGCAATGTCAATTATTCATGGACTATCAGAACGCATCTTAATCCAGAAACCTGCTATATTGTATCGATAGGCATATGGGAATAGTCCATAAGTGATGAAAATATAGACTTTCAACGGAATTTTGTACCATGTTGGTCTAATAGTTATAATCTAGGACCCGAGCTTCTAAAGACAAAATATGCACATTAAATAAAAAATGTAAAACGAAATTCTTAGCCTAGTTTATCTTTTTTTACAACAATTTCTCTATTGAAATTGTCATGTAAATTTAAAACGCGGTCACAAATCTTTACATACTTTAAACTTGCTAACCAAAAATCGAATTTCAAATTCCCTAATCAAGTTATATTTAAGAATACCGACAGATTCAGGGCAATTAGCGACTGAAGTGTCGCATTTCACTGCCTGCGGTCAGTCCATTGTCACATAGCGGAACCAAAATGGTCTACATATTGTGCGCTAGATAAGAGTGCGGCGATTGATTTCTCTTATTTCTATTATTTAGAAGTGACATTATATTTTTAAAGAATACTATTAACGCTTTATAACAGCTCTATTAATAAGCCCGTTACTACACCAAATAAGCTTAAAATATTTGTAACAGCATATAATAATAATAATAAAATTATATTAAGAATTGGAAAAGACAATTTTAGTCTGATGTCGCCTTTATCTTTTCCTTAGCATATAGTTTATTTCGATTATACTCGACTGCCCCAGTAGGATAGTAACGTTTTTTTAGAGTATGTTTGTTTATTTTTGGTCCGTTCTCTAGCCTAAATGGCTTGATGTATTTTAACATATGGGATGTAGAAAGATTTGCTTATTTGTAAGTGACCTAGGGTTTTTTTTCAGTAAACTTTTTTACGCAGTAGAGTCTTTTTTAATTAAAGTGTTAACCTTTAAGCTTGTGTTTATTATTTATTACATATACATGCGTTTATACTAGGTAATAGGACCTTTTTCTGCCTAAGAGTTTGGTCTAAGAGTAGGATGGACTGGATGGCAGTACACGTAGCTGTGTTCATGACTGAAAAGTAGAGAGAGGCAGTATAATAACAGGATCTGAGACATTTATCTTAGTCCTCAGAGATGACAACGCACTTGTAGCCGTAATTATATAAAGGTGGCTGCAGGTATCCATGGACTTCAGTAGCCACTTACCATCAAGTGAAATAAAGTTCGTGAATCATTTCAATTTTATAAAAAAAATAATCAGTGCGTTTCTATTCACCTTTCATTTCTAAATATTTCTTAATAATACCCGACAACTTGAAAAGAGACACAATCTTTTAGCGACTGCATGATAATTTATCGCATAAGGGAACACAGTAAGAAACGATACCGGATTTGGCGCATTCAAAATAGTTAAGAGTGTGTAAACGTCAATAAGCGTGCGGAAAAATACAATTGTGATCGAATTTGTGCATTGGAGGGCGTAAAATGAAATCTAAAAAAGTCGTGTGCATTCTGTAAGTTTAAATATATATTAATTATGTTTTTATAAAATCTCAAGTAAAATTTTTATGTTTATAGCAATTTTAATTTTTAAAATATTATAAAATTATGCAAAACAATTTTTCGTAAATAAATAAGAAGACGTAATATCTACTCGTAAGACATTACCAGATTAAATAAATCAAGATAATTGAAGAGTAAAGTACTAAATGTCTGATGAGGAATAAACAAAATCATTGCATTTATAATAAAATATCTTAACTTTGTGTTCTAAATATTTAACATAGTTAAAAAAAAACCAATCAAATTCTTTATTCGTCACATATATTTTACGTAAATTCACCGATTTCTTGAAAACGGCTAAATCGATTTAAAATGATTTGAAGAAAAAATGTGGTATAAAGTTTTTAACGTAACTATTTTGACGACATTCTTTAGTCCACCCAGAAGGATAAAAAAAGGAAATTAAAAAAGTGAAAAACGATATCAAGAACTAAAAATAAATAAAATAATTTCTACATTATAGCTTCTGAAGTTGGAGCTTTAATACTTCGATGCGCTTTGTCTTAACATTAATTTCAGAAGCTATTAAGTAGAAATTAATTTATTAATAATCAAATAATAACCGATTACAAAAATTAATAATTTTAATTTTTGAAATCGGTTTTCACTATTTAGACAGTAAAGTAAGCTTTTAGTTTCGAGTTTATGATATTTTTTTAATTGTATACATAACATGAAACTAAAATTGTATGTTTCATTTGATATAACTCGTACAATTCTAAATTAAATATATAAAAGGCGCCAATACCATAAATTAATGATTCAATAAAATTTATCAATTTTATAAATTCATTTTATCAATTTATTCGGCGATATTTAATTTACGTATCACTCTCACATAGCTAACTTTTTTGTTTTAGAATAATTATCATGGCATCGCCTTTCGGAAAAGGTGATATACAGAAAAGGGCTCTAATTTTCCCACCTACTAGTTTATATGGGGTATGTATATTCAAAAATATTTTAAGTGTCCTATGTACATCAAATAATAGTCCACTGATAAAGAGACCCGTGCCTCTCCGATATTATAAGGATTATTATAGTATATATTGAAAATGGGCAAAATCAAGAGTACCTTTAACCGACGAGAGTGTGTGCGTAGGTATATGGATGTGGAGGAAGCGAGAGAGGTGTGTCAGGATCCTGCCAAATGGAAGTCCATAGTCTCTGCCTACCCCTCTGGGTGACAGGCGTGAGTGTTTATATATATTATAGTCTACGAGAGGCAGACGGGTTGCGCAGTACCAGATGAGTAACATCAAGGTTCGATATGGTACTGCGATGTTTTATAAAATGCTAAAATAACGACTAAAGAAGAATAATAATGACGAATAGTGGCATCTCTATAATATTTCATATCATTTTGACAATAAGCACGATTTTATTTTGCATTTCAGACATTCGTAGCGATTGCTGTCCCTATTGATCTTCCGGACAAGAACGTCTTCGTGTCTTACAACTTTGAATCAAATTACAGTGTTGTGACAAATATAACTCAGATCGACGAAGCTCTTTTCCCAAATCTACCGGTGAGCTTAATTTTTATTAATGTTCAAAAATTAAAAACAGTTAATATTAAAATGGGATTATTCAAAAACAATAATAATTATGAAAAATCTGGCAATCATGGTATAAACGAATTTCGGAGGAGGGAGAATTTGATAAATCTTCACGTTTGGAAGGCGAATTGGCGGTAAAAATGCCAGACGTGTCACACGTATAACGCTGTTTCCCGTCGCCTGTTCTGTGTACGTCTGGTGCAAAGGAAATGTGTATAGCGTCCTCCATCAGAACCTAAGAATACATTTTTTTTACGTGGCAGAGCCATGCTGCAGCTATATTACTGGTATAGTTAGCACGAATGGGTCGCCTCAACTGAGATAGGGCCACGCTTTCACAGAATATAAGCTTCAAATAGCAGCTTCATGCTGCTGTGTTTCGTATGGTGAGTGTAGAGAACCGGAGACTATTTTTACTGGAAACGAGGCATTCAATCTGAGTCCTCACTGGTGAAAACACATCTGCATTTTGATTCGTAATAGAGGATAGATGTAGATGTCTATGAGCCACAGCAACCACTTAGCATCAGGTGGGCTGTGTGCTCGGTTGTGACCCTTATCCTGTAAAAAAAGTAGGTTATATTTTGTTTCTTAATTTACTAAAATTTAATGGTGAGTTGGTGTTGAACACGCAGCGTGGTGTGAAATGTCCGAAGCTACACGTTTCTAGCCATTTGTCTGCCAGAACACTGTAATATAAGAGCTCTTGTCTCTGCCCCTATCTGTGTCGAATTTAGCGGAGAATGCAACGTGACATCACGAAAAATACATGCTTTTATTTTGCTGTAGTATTCTCAACTGCAGACGAATTCATTTGGCGAGTTTCTTATACATCTCGAAAGAGCGAAATTTGCAGCACCAGGAAAGTTCTTGAATGAGCATCATTATTAATTTTATTTCTACGTGGTGAAAACATGCTGCAGTTATATTATGCCTGTGGCATAAATGCGTCGGTTAGACCGGGGAAAGATAACACACTCACAGAATCCCAACGTAAAATAGTAGTTGAATAATGCTGCGTTTCGTAAAGTGACTGTAGAGAACTGGAGACTCTATTTACTGGAAACAAGGCATTCCATTTTAATCTTCAGGGGTGACAACACATCTTCATTTAATTCTTTTTCGAGGATAGATGTAGATGTCTATTGGCCACGGAGTCTACTTAACATCAGACTGTGTGCTCGTTTGTCACCCTAATTCTATAAAAAGAAATATGTAATCAATTAACATTTTACGTTCTCAGATCATCAGCTCACGTCATACCAGGAGTGTAACGCGGGAATTAGCCTACACAGTGTTGGAAGCCCGATTCAAGGAGTAAGTATAGATCATTTTCTACTTTTACTTCTAAAAATAGACAACACTGTAGCGATGTAAGACGTAAGAGTTACGAAAAATAAATGGATTATATTTAAAAAAACTTCACTTACCTTATTTTTAAAAAATCCGTAAAATTCCACTACTGGACATGGAGATCCCCATATTAGGATTTTTCTATAACTGCCACGTTTGGCAGGTTGGCGTACGGTATACCAATATATAACTGTGGTTTGGGCATCATCCGTCTTGCATGAACAAAATTAGCAGCGTTAAAAAATCCATCACTCCATTTCGTCAACATATTGTTGAAAACGCATTTGCATTGTGTTCCAATTTAAAGAAAATTTGATTTTAATCCGTGCAAAGGTAAACTAATATTATAATATAACCAAGAAGTATAAGAATATAATAATATTATAAGTGTATAGAAAAATTAAAGTCTTGATTTCGGAAGCTGAAATTATGTTGTAGTATTATGTGGCTATTAGCAAAGCACTAACTTTGAAGTTGGGTTTTTTATGTTTATCTTTTTTTACTCTTTTGAGTGGACTAAGAAATCACATGCCGAAGGTTACAAATAGAATGTCTTCTAAATAGTTTTAAAAATCTATCTCCAAATTTATAGACTGCCCCAGAAGTAAAACCTATTTAAAACAATAATTATAATTTGCATAACATACATACAATAAAACACACACTTGAATTGAGAACTTCTTCATTTTTTCTTCTTGAATCTCCTCGCCCCTCGCCTTGTTAAATATAGCTATCTAGCTAGCTATGTTATTTCACACCGGTATTCTGTATGAGTATGGTATTCTGTAGAGCCGTGGTAGCTCTGGGCTAAGCTCTCATTGTAAATTTCACAGTACGCGAGCAACCCGGATTCAATCCCCGTAGGTAACAATGAAATTGTTAATGGTAAGATTAGTTACTGATTTACCACGTGCTCGGCGGTGAAGGAAAACATTTTTTTTTATAGGATAGGGGGCAAACGAGCATGCGGCTCACCTTGATGGTAAGTGACTACCGCCGCCCATGACAACTGCAACACCAGGGAGGGAATTGCAGATGCGTTGCCGGCCTTTTAAAAAGGAGTACGCTCTTTTCTTGAAGGTCCCTAAGTCGTATCGGTCCGGAAAAATCGCTGATGGTAATCGATTCCACAAGGAAGTCGTGCGAGGAAGAAAACATCTTCTAAATCGCACAGTGGTGGACCGCCAATCATCCAGATGGTGTGGATGGTATCGGGAGTTCTGCCGCGATGTGCGTTCATGAAATTTGGCGGCTGGGATTAATCCGAACAATTCCTCAGAGCACTCTCCGTGGTAGATGCGAAATAAAATGCAAAGGGACGCAACATCTCTTCGCAGTGCCAATGAATCGAGCCGATCGGAAAGGACTCGGTCGTCGACGATTCGAGCCGCTCTGCGCTGGATGCGGTCAAGTGGAAGGAGCTGGCACTGGGGAGCCCCTGCCCAGAGATGGGAACAGTATTCCATGTGAGGCCGAACCTGCGCCTTGTAAAGTTGCAGGCGGTGTGCCGGCATGAAATACTGTCCCGCTCTGCTGAGCACGCCAAGCTTTTTAGAGGCCAATTTGGCCTTCTCTTCCAAGTGACCACGAAACTGCACGTCACTCGATATGTCGCCTCCGAGGATACCGATACTGGCTGAGGCAAGAAGGGGAGTGCCTTGAAACTGAGGAGATACGACAAAGGGGTTCTTTTTAGCGGTAAACGCGCAAACTTGTGTCTTCTGAGGATTAAACATAGATATAAGAAAAAAAAATCTAAGACATGTGAAGTTCGTCAACACGCATTGGGGCAGCGCGGCGGACTTTTCCTTCGCTTAAACCCTTTCAGAAATGAGAGGAGGACTGTGTCTAACAGTGTGACGTATATAGGCTCTAAATTTTAATTTATAACCTGTTTGAGCACGGTACTTCCCCGAGCAAACTCATTCTTGCTGGAACCACAATACGCTGCAGTGTATCTCTTCCACGTAAATGGATCTCCACCGCGATCTCGACATGCCCACCATTTGTATTAGGGAATTATCCTTAAGATACTTCGATTCGAATAAAAATCATGAAAATCAGTTGATGGTAGAGGCGGGTACGTACTCTTTAGAGAGGTATGCTCAATTTTCGTTGGGTTAATTTTCGAAATGCTTCCATGCTTTTTTTTATTACACTGTTTAGAAATGTTTAATTTTAAATAACTTTACAACGTAATTCGTTCATTATTTTAAAATAAATCACTTTCTCACATGTATTTTAATGTAGCGCGTACGTAAAGCACTGAATTTTCCATAAAATATTTGCAGGCATGGCATGAACGGTAAAGAGTGTTTGCTACGTAACATCTGCGAGGCGGCGGAAACTCCGCTTCACCACAACGGTCTACTGGGACATATTATGCATATAATTTTCACGTGAGTTTATAATAGACTTTTCACTAATGTTAGCTTCAAAAATATTATTTTGCAAGTTTTTAAATGCTTAGCACAATTTTGATTAATAATTATAATTCATCCATTACAACATATCTAAAGTCCACTATTCATATACTTTCCCCATGATTGTCCCATAGGAGAAACACTCAAAAATTAATAATTTTTAATATGGAGGTAGCCGTGGTTAACTATGACACTGAGACGTCATGCACCTCAGTCACCCCGTGACCATGGCTGCTGTAAAGTTCTCGAAACGTCGGGATTATAAAATAAGTTAATATACGCAATAAAATCCGCAAAATTTGTTTTTTTTAAATCAACTTTTTTAAGTCATGCAAAGTGTTTTTCATTTTGGTATTTAATTCGTCTACCGAGTTAGCAGATACAATGGCGTTTTTATCGTCCGCATAAATAGTTAACTTTACATATTGCTTGCCCCTCTTTATGGTTGTCAATTTAGATAAGTATACCGTTTCGACACGGTCTATTATTATTTTAGTCTTAACAAATTGTTTTCTATTTGATAATTAGAATTCTAATAACCTTAATATTGAGCCACTAACTCCGTAATTTTCGAATTTTAATAGCAGTATATCATGATTTATTGTGCCAAAAGTCAAAATTAAGTCTAAATATAGACCTCTTACCTTATATTTATTATTGAGTCTACATACTACATCATAGGCTAGCGTATTTATAGCATCTGTAGTACCCACATATATTTGATACCCGAATTTCGTCTTATCTTTATCAGTTTCTCATAAGTCTGTGATAAAATAGATAGCAAGGAAATCGGTTTAAAGTGTTTGGTGCACATTTTACTTACCTTTCAATTTACCGTAAGTACTCTTTACTACTTAAACTTTGAGGAAATAAAGTTCGTTCCCCACATTTGTTGAAAAGATAAGCTACAGACTCAGCAAATATATCAATTTTATTTTTAATAATTTTGGCGAGTATTTCATCATAACCATGTGATCTCTTATCTTACATTTGCTTAATTGTTATTAAGATTTCATGAGTAGTAATAATGTTAAAGCGCATGTCTGTCACAACCCTCTGTACGCTTAGTTCCAGAATTAATTATGCGGATATTTGATAACAAGAGTTATTACTTAATGAATTAGTTTCACTTAAATGACTCGAGAAACCATTCATGCTGATAACTTATGATGTTATTGTTTATCTTTAGTTGTATATCATCTTCTTTATTACAAAACAATTTTTTCTTACTTTCATTTACAATATTCCAATTATTTTTTATTAGAATTTATCACTGACTCAATTTTTCTTTGTACAGCCACATTCATAAATCAGTCGAAAACGGCGACACTGCCAAGGTTTGGAATTTCTTCAATCGCTTGGAGTTGGCAAGGCATCTTCTAGCTCATTTCAGCATAATTTTGATATTGAACTCCTTAACCAACATTTTACTTCTTCTAGTACAATGGACAGCTCAGACAAAGAACGCACTCTGAGTATTCTTTCTTCAATGCCAACTCCTAATTTCCCACCGTTTAAGTTCACTCCTTTCACTGATTGTGATGTTAAAAAGATCATATTGTTCATCTCGTCTAAAGCCATGGGTGATGACATTGTTAGTCGTAACATGATCTTACCAATCCTTGAATTTGTTACTCCCATTCTCACCCATATCCTGAATAAATCTATCTCCGCGTCTAAATTCCCTGACGCTTGGAAAAGCGCACAAGTAATTCCTCTCTCTAAGAAGGCCCAAGCCTTACATTTTACCGACTTTCGCCCCATTTCCATTCTTTCGTTTCTATCTAAAATCCTAGAGAAACTAGTTTTTCACCAATTATGTCAATATCTAGATAGAAATTGCCTTTGAAATCCTGTTCAATCCGGTTTCCAGTTGGGTCATAGTACGACTACAGCTCTGGTTAAAATTATTGACGACATTCGACGAAGTATGGATAATAAACAGCTCACTGCGTTGGTATTATTAGATTTTAGGAATGTCTTCAATACCGTTGATTTTGATATCTTGTTGAGTCTGTTACGTTCCATTAACATATCTCCATCAGTGATTGGATGGTTTCAAAGTTATCTTAGGGGCCGACGGCAGCGTATTCGCATTGAAGATAAATTTTCATATTGGTGTGAACTACGAGCTGGAGTGCCTCATGGTGGTGTGTTGTCTCCTTTACTCTTTGCTATCTTCATTAATTCGATCTGTCACAAAATTTCTTCTCTCTATCACATGTATGCAGACGATCTTGAAGTGTATACGCAGTCAGCTCTTGAGAATCTACCTACCGCTGTTTCTGCCATCAATGATGACCTGGCGGCTATTAGTGAATGGAGTAAGTACTTTGGGCTTAAGGTTAATCCTTGTAAGTCTCAGGCCATTATTGTTGGTGGTGCTGGGATGATTTCAAGAGTTGACTGGAATAACTTTCCCCCGGTGGTATTGAATGGTATTGTAATACCTTACAGTAACACCGTTAAAAATCTTGGTATCCACTTTGATAATACTTTCTCATGGTCTAATCGATTGAAAGAAGTTAGCAGAAAGACTTTTGCTGCTATGGGTTTGTTGCAGCGTTTACGTTCTTTCGTTCCCATTCCTACTAAAATTATGTTAGCACAATCTTTACTCCTCCCTATTCTCGATTATGCGGGCGCAAGCTGTCTTGATTTAACTGAAGATCAACTAAACAAACTTGAGCGTATTCAAAATGTCTATTAGGTTCATATTTGGTTTGCGCAAATATGATCATGTCTCCGAATTCCGTTTAAAGCTCAAGTGGTTACCCATTCGCATTCGCCGATACCTACAAATTGTTTCTCTTCTGTACTGTGTATTATTTGATCCAATGACTCCTAGCTATTTGAAGGAAAACTTTAAGTTTCTTGGTCATGACAGACCGGACAGAGTTCTACGGTCAGCCGGAGAACTTATACTCGCGCCACATTCATATCGAACTAAATACTTTAAAAACTCCTTCACAGTCAAGGCCATCTGCTTATGGAATGATCTTCCTTTGCAAATTCGTCAGGCGAAAACACTAGAAAAGTTTAAGACTGACGTCAAAAGTTACTACCTAACAGTGCAATAACTACTGGTCATCATTTGCGACATGTATTTTTTTGTATCCTGTCTGTATTTATTTATGTAATTTTTATGTATATTTGTCTATTCAATATTATGTATATCTATTATATTTTGAATGTATATATTAGTGCATTAATTTTATTTTATTATGTATCAGTTTAGTTTACTTAGGTATTAGTATGTAAGTTTACTATAATATACACCACCTCCCACTGTCCAATAGAACAACTTTCTCCTAATCTTAAGGTTGTCTGGAAGAGACCTCTTAAGTTTTACTCCTTGTAATTTGTTCTTTTTTATCGTTTTTGTGGTGTACAATAAAGTATAAATAATAATACAATGTTGACAAGACTGGTTCTCGTCTTTAATATCACAAATTTCAAAATGTACAAACTTAAATAGTTTCTTACTACTAATTTAAAACCTTTTAATTTAAATAAAGGAGCTGAAACCTCATTAAACATATGTTCACAAAAAAAAATATATTTTTAATCAGATTTTACATACTTAATATACAGTTCTATCTCATATTTTTTGTTTGTTACACCACTTCATTTACGTGGTAGAGCCATGCTGCAGCTATATTAGTAGTATAGTTGTAGCACGAATGGGTCGGCTCGACCGGGGAAGGACCACGCTCTCACAGAAAACCAGCGTAAAATAGCAGCTTAACGCTGCTGTGTTTCGTATGGTGAGTGTAGAGAACCGGAGACCCTTTTTACTGGCAAAGAGGCATTCCATCTTAGTCCTCACGGGTGACAACGCATCTGCATCTTGAGTCTTTATTGAGGATTGATGTAGATGTCTATGGGTCACAGTAACAGCTTACCATCAGGTGGACTGTGTGCTCGTTTGTCACCCCATCCTATAAAAAAAAACATAAATTTTGATAAAAAATATTCATAAAAATTTTTCGCCATCTGATTTAGTTTATTATTATTGACGAAAAAGCGAAATGCAACTTTGAGGAGGGATATAGTGTGTAAAGTTCGGGTTTCGTTGAATGAAATTTCTTTAGCACCATCTAACCTCTCGCTACATATATTGTTTATACTCGAACCAGTACTCTTAATCGGTGTACTGTTTTGTGTTTTCGAGATAGATGCCAAGCCTTCAGTCAGTTTGTAACAACAGCTCTGAAGATTATCGAAACTTTTTGTGACAGTAATATTGTGATGACATTGGTCTCCAACGGCAGAATACAAGAATTACACCGGAGGAATATAATATTTTGAGATCATGTATAGTCCGCAATACGCACTGGAGCAGCGAGGTCAAATTGCCCCATAACACTCAAAAATTACAGGCGGCATACACATAGCAGGGGAAGATTATAGCCTGTAACTTGAACAGTACAGTTAATGACTTATTTTAATAACGAGCTTACAGTCATTACACCTGCAGCCAACTTCAAATAATGAAGGCAACAGATGAGTTGTCAGCTCTGAGTAAGAAGATGGAATACCTCACATATTTTTAAATTCTTTGTCAGGATGCAAACGGTTCTATGCTGAACACTGGCCTCATCTGCAGTAGGAACAATTGACGCAATTCTACAAAGCTTGTTGTAGTAGCTCAGAAGAGTTTGCCTTAAGCTTCATAGTATGCTAATAAACCGAGCTCGAAACCCACCGGCAATTTATTAAAATGAATGCCACATACTCGACGGTAAAGAAAAAAAGTGAGGAAATCTGTATGCTTAAGAAAATATAAATATTTAGAATACATGTGAAGTCCGACAACACGCATTGGTGCAGCGTGACGGATTATTTTCTGCTTGCAACCCTTCTCAGAAGTGAGAAGAGGCCTGCATGCAAGAGATATGCACATGGTTAGGACGTACATGCTGTTAATTTACTTAACGTAAACTTTATTTAACTTTTTGCAGTAATCTAAACCATTTTAACTATATTATATACATTACAGGCCATCATCATCTCGCGAAGAAGGCATAGACGACGTATACTACGAGGCAGAGTTAGATGGTCAAAATGGTGACTGTGACAAATACCTCGACGACTGCCCCTTTAGCCTATTTGATGCTATAACTCGATTAGTTGAAATACGACACTAAATAAAAAAATAAAACAATTTCTATGACGTTTATTTTTTTAACAATACATTCTTCTGCAAAAGTCACATATGATATAGGTCTATGACGTCACACTGACAGGAGGAATGACGACCACAGTTCCAGTCATTTGGCATCATTGATGCTCCTCCCGAACGGCAGCCTTGGTATTTTACTTCTGGCGTAAACGAGACGGTTATGGTAACATCCATTTTGAAGTCCCAAAATCAGCGGTGTCAACACCCAGTAGACAAAATGAAATAGTGTATTCTCTTACTACAAAGCTACACAATATAGATTGTTCAGTAACAATACATAAATTAATCCATTTTAGATTCATTATTTTTCATAGCAGCCCTTCACAAGTCTACCGCTGAACATAGGCCTTCCCCAGGGAATGCCACAAAGCACGGTCCTGAGCCACCTGCATCCATCGAATTTCTGCATGTCCTATCAGGTCATCACTTCGCCTTTATGGAGCTTCCTTACACTTCGCCTATGGGTTCGGGGCTACTAGTCGAGAACATTTCTTCCCGATCGATTGTCGGTTCTTCGAGCAATATAGCTGTTTCCATGTCACTGATGTTAATACCGAATCCTTTCCAGTCCATTAGCTTGAAAAAGTTTTCCAATGCAGCAGTGAAAAGATTTGGTGAAAGGTATAAATGCAATTAATGAGACCTAGGGTTCACACGAGTGTAATATCTCGTCTGAAATTATGGATAAAATGGGTAAAATATAATATGGAAATTACTTGAAATATTCGTGAACTATCACAGCTCGCACCTTCAGCCTTCAGCCTCTAATATAGATATTTTCTATCAAGAAAGTCATAATAGAAAGGTGTAGATGAGCAGCAAATGGTAAAGAATTAATTTTTTAATTAATTAGTCACGATCATATTATGCAGCTATTGAGATTGAAATTATCATTTATATTTAAAACGCGCTCACAGATCTTTATATATTTAAAACTTGCTGAACAAAAATCGACTTTCAAATTCCCTAATCGAGTTATATTTAAGAATACCGACAGATTCGGGGCAATTAGCGACGAAGTGGCTCATTTCACTGCCTGCGGTCAGCTCATTGTCACATAGCGGAACCAAAATGGTCTACATATTGTTCGCTACATAAAAGTACACCGACTGAATTATATTATTTCCATCTTTTAATATTGACATTATTTTTTATAGAATACTATTAACGCTTGATAACAGCTCTATTAATTGCCCCGTTTACTACACCAAATCAACTTAAAATGTTATAAAATCAATCAAATGTTGTCTTTATTTTTACATTAAAGTATTGTTTATCATTCGGGTAAAACAGTCCCAAGAGAAGAGATACATAAAAGTACGTATTCGCGCCACATCATGCTACCGGCTAACGCTTATGAGATTTGTTAATTATAATCCAATAAGAGTACAGTAAAGTCCACTTACGGGTTTCCTATCTACCGCCTTTTATGCTAGCATGTGCACTCTGGTGTTAAACGGGGTTCTCACAAGCTCGCAAGTCACGAAACCACATACACACTACCACACCGGCTATATCTCGCGTAATCGCTCTCGCCCTTGTGTCGTTTAGATATTGAACTATACAAGAACATAACAAAGTATATGGACATTTGGTATATCGCTATATTTCGCAATAATATGTGGAGTTACATGCATGTAAGATAGCCTGCATCTAACCACCGTGCATGGCAGCCCTTGGAGACACGAGGCAGATTAGCAGAAGTCCAGGTTAGTGCACATGCGTTCCTTCACATCCTTCTTGTTGCCCAAATTTAGGAACATTTGCAGTATCGCGATATAGTCAATTCTCACCGCCTCATAGAGTCCATAATTTACGTAAAATCATCCTTTTAACAACTCTGAACCAGCAGTTGGTTATTTAAACCAACACACCGTTTTTTGGCCCGTCGCCACAATTAATTTCACCCACCAGCTGATCACTCCGGCCGGGAAAATTTAATATTATCCACCAGCATGCCTATTTATTGGCACGCTCTGTAGCCTAAACGGCTTGATAGAATTTAACATATATATATTCAAGTGCGTAATCATTTTTATAGTATGAGGATGACAAACGAGCACAAAGTCCACCTTATGGTAAGTGGATGCAATGGCCCATAGATATCCACTTTTATCCTTGATCAACAATCAAAATGCGTTGTTACTTCTGAGGACTAAGATGGAATGGCTCGTTTCCAGTAAAAAGCGTCTCCTGTTCTCTACACTCACCATACGAAACACAGCAGCATTAAGCTGCTATTTTACGCTGGTATTGTGTGAAAGCGTGGTCATACCTCAGTCGAGTCGACCCATTTGAGCTATAACCATAATATAGCAGCATCGTGGCTGTGTTAAACAAAAAAATTGATGTAGAAGTTACGTAGTAAATTTTTTACGCAGTCGGTTGTTTTTAATACTGTTTTCATCATCATCATCATCATCATTACAGCCCTTCACAAGTCCACTGCTGAACATAGGCCTCCTCCAAGGAATGCCACAAAACACGGTCCTGAGCTACCTGCATCCATCGACTTCCTGCATATCTTACCAGGTCGTCACTCCATCTAATAGGGGGACGCCCTACACTTCGTCCGCCGGTACGAGGCCGCCACTCAAGAACATTTTTTCTCCATCGGTTATCGGTTCTTCGAGCTATATGGCTGGCCCATTGCCACTTCAGCTTACTAATCCGTTGGGCTATGTCGGTCACTCTGGATCAACTGCGGATATCCTCATTTCTAAGTTTATCACGCAGATAAACTCCGAGCATAGCCCTCTCCATAGCTCGCTGAGCGACCTTGAGCTTCCTCATACGGCCAGCAGTGAAGGACCACGTCTCAGTTCCATAGGTCATCACTGGCAACACGCACTGGTTGTACAGTCTTGTTTTTAAGTTTTGAGGTATACCTGAAGAGAAGATGTACCGTAATTTCCCGAACGCTGCCCAACCGAGTTGAATCCGTCGATTACACATACGATATACCGACAGTCAACCGCTGAAGGGACTACAGCACCGCCCAAATTTCGACGGAATCAAAGGCTTTCTCATAGTCCACATACGCCAGACATAGTGGCAAATTGTACTCCTCTGATTTCTGTGCAATTTGCCGAAGGGTATGTATGTGGTCTATGGTGCTAAAGCCTTTTAGGAAATCGGCTTGTTCGGGAGGCTGGAAGTCGGCAAGTCTGCGCGCGAGACGATTCGTAATGACTCTCGAAAATAGCACGTAGATGCGGCTCAGAAGGGAAATCGGTCTGTAGTTCTTCAAGAGAGCGTTGTCGCCTTTCTTGAAGAACAAGACCACCGCACTTCTGCTCCACGCCTCCGGTGTAATGTTACCACTGAGGACGGAATTAAAGAGGTTTTGAAGAACTTCAAGTACCGGTTTTCCACCCGTTTTCAGAAGCTCCGCTGTAATTTCATCCTTGCCTGAGGCCTTGCCGTTTTTAAGGTGTTGGAGAGCCATTCTAATCTTGCTTAGACTGACGTCCGGGATATCATCGGAATAGTGTTGGATAAGACTTGCCCTTGGATCGTTACTCACACTTACGTGTGGCTCCAACGATGATGTGTACAGCTGCCCATAGAACCTCTCAATCACACTCAAAATCTCAGGTGTCCCGGAAACGACGCTGCCACACTTAGTCTTCAGCTTCGACAGTTGGCTCTTTCTAGCAGACAGATCTCTAGCAAAGACTTTGGAGCCCTGGTTCCGCTCGATCGCTTCTTCAATACGAGCAGTATTAAAGTTGCGTAATTCCCGCCACATGCATTTGGAGATCTGTCTGTTCAGTCGCATGTATGCTGTCAAATCCACTGAAGACTGCAGCTTCATATCCTCTAAAATTGTTTACTGTTTTAACCTCTAAAATTGTTTTTATCATTTATTGTATATATATGCGTTTATACTAGGTAGTAGGACATTTTTCTTCCTAGGGCTCTGTCTGGGTATGAACCACCCTATAACCCATTTCTGACGATAGATGGTAGTACGCGGAATAGTTGTGTTCCAGTCTGTAAGGTAGAGAGGCAGTATAAGAATAAGCGACAGAAGCCAAATGTTACGCTTCGAACTGCAAACTCAGACGTTCGTGGATTCGAAGCCAACATGGTGAAAACTATGGTGAAACACTCTTAACACAAGCACTTTAAGATGCACTTTTATGCTTACTTAGGCCCGTATTAATAAACGTTACTCAACGACGATCTCAATTGCGTAATCATTTTATACACCCCCATTACTATATCAGCATCTCAAGATCGTTGCTAATTAATAAACACATAAAAACAGTACTCGTATCTCAAAACACTGTAATTAGGAATACTATACTAATACTTGAGAGTCGAGTTTCATTTATTAATCAGTGTGGCACTCAGCTGATATCGTAAACCTAAACCGCATCTTGAGATATGTTTATTAATAAGATCATAACCTCAATATGGTAATCAAGTGCGTGAGCTGAGTAACGTTTGTTAATACGGGCCTTAGAGTGGTTAACGGCAGTATTAGTAATGTTAAAAGTGTTACTTGTATTGTTGTTTAAAATATTACAGGTTGGGAGACATTTTATCTTAGTCCTCAGGGGTGACAACGCATCTATATCCTTATTTATATAAAGTTGGCTGCAAGTGGCCATGGACTTTAGTAGCCACTAACTATCAGGTGAACTGTAAATCCATGTCATTTCAATTTTAGAAATAATTTAATCAGTACATTTCGTTGGACCGTTGATTGCTAAATATTTGTTTATTATATCGCACAACTTGGAAAGGGCCAATCTTTTAGCGACTTCATGATAATTTGTCACATAAGGGAATACAGCAAGAAACGATACCGGATCATTCTGCGCATTCATAATAGTCAAGAGTGTGTAAACGTGCTCAAAAATACAGTTGTGTTAGAATTTGTGCATTGGAGGGCACTAAAATGAAATCTAAAAAAGTCGTGTGCATTCTGTAAGTATAAATATAAGTTTATTATAT